GGAGGGGGGGGGGGGCGTACTCTTATGTTTTGCATGCCGTAGCGGTTAGACCATTGACCACGCGTCCTCGAGAGGACGGAGCATTGTTCCCACAGGACCGATCACCGATGGCCAATCGTTCCTAACCGGGGGTGGGGGGGGCTCGATGGTCTATCTTACCGTAGATTCGGTTCCACCTGTTTTTCGCTCCAGATTTTGCCGCGTCAGATTATTCATGTAAGGCCATATGCCGTCAAGTTTGTGTGCGGAGCGCTGCTTCCTTCCCTTTGCAAGCGTCACAAGTGCAGTGCGTTCCCGTCCCCCCCCCCCCCCCTCCCCAAGTTTTTCCTGTCGTCCTTGATTCAACCCCACGATGCCCATCGCAACGTTGCACCTCTTCCATCATACATGTTTACCCTCGACCTGGTCCGACAGATTCCGCGGCCCATTGTGGGCGGCGAGCGAGTGATTTACCAGACCTGCACCCCTCCCAGCGTGAAGACGCCACCAACGCCAACCTCCAACTACGTTGCTCTCGACGAGGTACAGTATGTGCTGTGGTAGTCTCGTCCCGCCTTGTTTTGCCGTGCCGTCCGTCCTCGGGACTGCTGTCGTCGTCCCATGTCCGTGAACCGAAGCATGCGCCCCTATGTGCGGTATTTGTCTCGGCGCCGCATGATGTTCGCCGCAGCACCCGGTCCATTGCATTGCCTGTATTTCGTCGGCCTGTCTCCATGTGTGTACAGTAGCGCCTTCGCGACGTTTGAGATGGTATTGTGGACATACAAGCGCTGTATTGGAATTTCCAGTCCCGTGCATACGGAGTATATCGTCGTCGGAAGTTTTCAATGGGGTGCGTATACCCGAACTGCTGTTTGGATTCGTCTGTGTTCGTTTGGTGCAGGGAAACTGCTCGCCGCGGTTCATGCGGTCGACGATGGCGCAGCTTCCGATGACAGCCGACGCCATGGGGGCGTGTAAGGTGACTCATGACTGACCTACGTAGCTAACGCTATCTGTCGCATGCAATACGTGCCGCGCTGAATCGTGCGCACGTTGCAACAGAGCGCTAAAAAGCACGTTTCGGGGTCCTTGCGGGCACGTAGTGGGACAAACAGGTGATTTTTCGATGGCTTAGCTCTCACAACGCCACCCCCGTTCGGTGCCGCGTCTCAGACGCTTTTCCCGGGCAAGATGCAACGTAAAACTCGCTCTTTCCGTGATGATTGTCCTACAATCACCGGGCTTTGTGCCCAACAGCAGTCGTGACTGACTTGACCATTGCCAAGAAAGGGCACCTCCCCGTCCACTCGTGACAGTTCTCTCGCTCTCTCTCTCATGACCTACCTGTTGTACGCGTTTTCCTCGTTGCCACCAGATCCCAATGGCCGTAACCGTCCAACCCATGGCCATCGTGGGGCCGGAGGAGATTCCAGTTAACCTTGTGGACTTCGGTGAGAGAGGCCTCCAAGCTCCCCTTCGTTTGTCGCTTGGACACTTGCACTACATGCATACTTGGAGCAGTTTTCGCATTCTATGGTTGTGTTTGGGTAGCTGGCCTGCCCTCACCCTAGCGTGGTGTGTGCTAGAGATTAGAGTATTGATTATTTGCTCGTTTCTCTCTCGGGGTTGGTATGCTCAACCAGGGGATTGGTGCCGCCGCTGTCATCCCTGTGCCCGGTGGCGAAGTTTGCGGTGCTCTTGTCTGCCGTTGTTTGACTGCGCCTCTCATTTGCGCGATGTATAATAATCCCTGCATCCGTGTCGCACTGCTGTACATACTTTGTCATTGTCAGGAGAGGCCGGTCCTCTTAGGTGCGAGATGTGCCGAGCGTACATCAACAGCTTCGCCAAGTACGTGCAGAATGGCGAGAAGGTGAGCAGCAATAGCAGTATAATGGTCGACATCACCAGCAGGGGCGACACCTTTCCGTGCTCCGTTGTTCCACGCCCTTTTTTGACGTTTTACCGCACACGGGCAAAGTTCTGCTGTTGCCGCTCGTACGGCGGTGAAGTGCACGCCTCCTTTTGGCTACTGTCTTTTTGGCAGTCTCGAGGACTCCACCAAGCCCTCGTCCATGCCCGAAAAGGATATCTATCACCAATCCCGAAACCCAAGTGCTCGTCGATGGTTCCACCTGTCTTGAATCAAGTCCGGCCTCGCGACACGCCTGTTACGATATCAACAGGGCCCCACCCCAGCTCCAGCGTTCATGGGTCTCTGCTGCTTATGACATATCCGCACAATATAAAAAAAACTATGTCCCAGCTCGAGGTATTGCCGCAGTCAAAGCGATGTAGTTGAACTCTTTGCAGCCGTTATACTATATACTGGCTGTTGTGCTCTAACTCTAACTCTAGCTCTAGCTCTAGCTCTAGCTCTAACTCTAGCTCTAGCTCTAACTCTAACCCTAACTCTACCTCTAACTCTAACTCTAGCTCTAACTCTAACTCTAGCTCTAGCTCTAGCTCTAGCTCTAACTCTAACTCTAACTCTAACTCTAACTCTAACTCTAACTCTGGTGCCTGGCTATACTCGTTCGTTCTCGTGCCTGTCCATGCAGTGGATTTGCAATTTCTGCAAGCACGAGGGGCCTGTGCCGCACGCCTACCAGTGCCCGCTCGACGGCGCCGGGTTGCGCAGGGATCGGGATCAGAGGGCGGAGCTGTGCAGGGGTAGCGTGGACTTCGTGGTACCCAAGGTGCGCGGCGCGCGTGCACACCACCGGCTTGCTCTTGTTGTGTGGTGTAGGCAGACAAACACGCGTGATGCCCTGCTGCGGTAGTTTCTCTCCTGGCCGAGAGAGCTTTGTAACCTCTGAAGAGCAATGTATTTTTAAATTTTAGCGGTGCTTCTGACCTAAAATGAAACATGGTGTTTGTGATTGTGGTGGTAGAAAGATGAAGCGACGCCGGTTTCGAGTAACCCCCCCCACGGTGTTCAATGGTCTAACCACTAAGGCATGCAAAACATGCGTACGCCCCACACCATGGAGCCCCCCTTTCCCCCTTGTCATCTTGCTGTACTGTCCTTGGCGTGTCCTCCCCCCTCTTTTGTCTGTTCCGCTGCTCGTCACAGGCGGTGTACAGCTTGCGCCCGGAGCAGCAGCCCATCTTCGTGTTCTGCGTGGACGTGTCCCCGAGGGCACTCGAGACGGGCTTCTCTGCGGCGTGTCTGGCGGCTATAGAGGCGTCACTGGACTCGGTGCCGGGCGGGGAGAGGGCCAGGGTGGGTGTCATCACCTTCGACAAGTGTCTACAGGTGTACAGGGTCGACGAGGAGGGGAATGTTTCGCAGATGGCGGTGGCACCGGACACGGAGGTGGGTGGGGGGGGGTGGGGGGGGGTGCAGCAGCAGCGGAGCCCCCGGTGGGTGTGGTTCAAGATTGTTGACGGGTGGTGTGTGTGGAATATAGTAAGGACACGGAAAGAACGATTGCGGCAGTCTGCAAGGTCGTGTATGATTGATTGGTCGAGAGAAGTGTCGGTTCATGCGTTACGTGTAGGAGAGAGGTTGGGCCGGTGTACACGCCGTACCTGCCGTCACCAAAGGCCGCAGCTGTATGGGACGTGGACCGTCGCATCCCTATTGGAGGCTGGGCGGTGGTCTTGGGTCCTTCACAGGACAGGCGGCCTACGTTGGAGGTGGAGGAGAATGGGTTTGTATCCAGTTTTAGTTGATAGTTATACTTTATTTGATGTTGTCGGGATACTGAAGTTGGCACGGAGCTGGCTGGGCAGCCTGCCGTATCCGCATCGCCATGACGACGCTTGGCTTGTCGTCGGGCGTCGTTCTGACTGTTCCTCGGAAATTTGGCTCGAATTGTAGTCAAATCTCACTCTTCTGTCTGTAGGCCCTACGTTGATTACGGCACTACTGAAGCGATACAGTATGTCTTGTCTCTCGCCCCCCCCCCCCCCCCCTTCTCTTTCGCGTACAGGAACCGTATGCCCCGTTGCCCGCTGCCCAATGGATCCTGCCGCTCAATTCCTGCCGGAGTAGTCTCCCGAGACTGTTCCAGGCTATTCCCGGTGCGTAGTCGAACGGGCAATTAGTTTGGTGTCAAAGGTGTCAAGTGTATTTGCTTGGCCTGCTTTTGGCGGGGGGGGGCAGAGGGCCCCCCTCTCATGATGCGACTGTTCCTTCCCTATGGATGCCATACACTCTGTTGAACGAGTAGAACGGTGCTGCTGTAGCAAGTACCACACAACAGCAGTCATAGGTTTAATTGTTCTCTTTTCTTTTATCCCATACATGAGCCGACAGCAGTTTCCGTTCACTACGCCGATCCTATCCCCCCGGCTGTTGGAGCTCCCGAGCGCGTTTACAAAGCAAAGCAAAACAAGGCAAGGATTTTCAGTAGCCCCTTATCTTATCCCGCCCCCTCCCATCCCTTGGCTAGATCTTGTATCGAAGAATGGTCGACAAACGACCCCTGCTTCTGCCTGCGCGTCCGGGGCGGCGCTGCGCGCGACGGTGGACTGCCTGGATGGTATCGGAGGGAGAGTCTTTCTCATGGCGCAGTCCCCGGCGGACGTTGGCGCCGGTGCGGTTAGCCGAGGGCGGGAGGAGGGCGGGATGTACGGGGGGGACAAGGAGTTTCACATGTATCAGCCGGCCCCGGACGTGGGGAAGGACGTGGCGGCCGTGGCAACGGGGGTGTTTTACAAGGCACTGGCCAAGGACTGCGCCGCGAGACAGGTGACAAGCTAATGGAGAGGGATGGGTAGGGGGAGGGGGGGGGTGGGAAGTGTGGGTGGTAAAATATGCCGGTGAGAAGAGGGGTAAGGAGAAGAATGGGATGGATGGGGGGAAGGAGAAGAATGGGATGGAAAGGGTGGTGGTACTGAGCAACATTTGAGAACAGGTTCGTAACGGTAATTACTCAACACATGATCAACGAGGAAGGGGCCAAGGAAGTGGTGAGGGGGGAGGAAAGGAGAAGGATGGAATGGAAAGGATGGCACTGCAAGACAGGTGGGAAGAGGGCTCCGGAAGGGGTTAAGGAGGCAGGAAAGGAGAGGAATGGACTGGAAAGGGTGGTGCTACTGAAACACTATTGCGCACGGCGGTGGGGGTTGGTATGGCGTTTCCAAGTCGCTTGTGTTGTCGGGGGTACCGTGCGTATGGGCGCAGAGCTGGTTTCGGTGAGTTTTCGCGTCCCTTGGCCCCTTGTAGGTCGAACCCCCGAGATGAGTGGTGTGCTTTGGTTTGGTTTTCCGAGGGGCTGCGAAGGACAGCGTTGCTTCTGCTGCTGCTATCAAAGCGGGTTGCTACCGTAGCGCGGCACTCGGCGACTGCACTTGTTGGGTAGACTCGGCTGAGCCGAGTTTCCGCGGCTCGATACCTCATTGCCTATCGTATTGTCCGGTGTGTTTTTTTGGACAAATATCCCAAAGTATTCTCCCCCAACACGCGTGCGCGCGTGTTCATTTTGTGCCCCGCTAATAAGACTGACATCTCGTCATTGGTCATCCGCTGAATATCGCAATAAACACACACACACATGTTATGGTTGGGGGAATTTTTTTATTTGGGGGGGGGGCAACAGGTGTGCGTGGATCTGATGCTGTGGTGCAACGGAAGGGTCCGAGAGTTCTACGACGCAGGGACCATCGGGATGGTGTCTAGAGTAACAGGCGGGCGAGTCACGTGCCTGCGGGGAGGGGAGCCGGGCGGCCGCGACACGGAGTCGCACCTTAGGGAGCAGTTGACGGGGGCTCTGCGCGATCACGCCCACAGCGCCAGCGAAGCTATCCTCAAGGTTCGTGGGCGAGTGGGGCTCTTGGCTCTTTTTTTTTTTTTGTGGTTGTTGACGGGGGCTCCATCGAGGCTTTTGACGTCCATCCCCCTAGACGATGCGAGCGCGACAGCAAAGGATATCACACACACGGTTTTCTTTTCTGTCGGGGAGGCACATGCTGCCAACCCGGAAGAGCGAGTGTGTCTCATTGTTACTCTTTCCCCCGCTTTTTCATCACCTGGGTCTGTAACGTTTGTCTTGGGTCTCCTTCCACACCCACCCCGAACCTTTGACCCTGTTAACGTCTACCCTATCGAGGCGAGTTGGAAACACCCTCGCTCTCTCGCTGTGGTTTCTTCAGAAGTCAATGGCGGGGTTTTTGTGTTGTACTTGAAGTAATGTCCCATTCGCAGCTAGCTGTTTCTACCAAGCCATAGCCGCACGGCACTAGCAGTCTTGAGATTGTATTATTCTGGCGTGCTTGTGTTTATTTTCTGGAGTAAATGTGTTTTTGTTGTCGCCTGTATCAGGTACGGTGCACCGCGGGGTTTTCGTGCACCCAACGCTTGGGGCCCGGCATAGAAAACATGCCGGGAGAGCTGGAGGTGGCGAACATCACTCCGCATCACACGATCGTGTGCCGTCTAGAACACGACGGCCGGAAGCTCGAGGAGGGGGGGATGGTGTACATACAGGTAACAATAGCCTCAAGACTGGTCGAGGCAGAGTAGGGCCGGCGTCAAGCCCAGCTGTTTTTTTTACACGTCCATCAGTTTCTGGTAGCGTTCCCGTTCGTGCATGCGAATTGGCACGTTTGGGGGCGGGCGGGGGTCAAGGGTGTTCGGTGTAGAGTATCGACAGCTTTTGTGATGATGCTGCACAGCAGTTGAAGTTCTTGTCCTCGAGTCAAGTTTGTTTTTATGCGTGTTTTCCTGGGTATATTTTGAAGTTCAGTCCCTGCTGTGGCACCGCCCCAGCCCGCCCGTGATTTTGACCCTCAAATCTGCCGCATCCTCGTGTGCCTCTCCTTTCCGCCATCCCGTTCTGCCTTCGGTATGGTACGGTATTCCATGATCTCATATGACACGATGCTGTGGCAGTCGGCGTTGCTTTACACGTCCACGAGTGGGCAGCGACGAGTGCGATGTCACACCTTGGGGCTGCCGGTGACGGGCCTCCTGCCGAACATATTCCGGTCCACTGGTGAGCGAGTGTGGTGATTTCGCGTACGTAAAATGTCTGTTTGTTTGAACATGAACCAGACTATCACGGGGTGACGGGGTTTGTGTTCGTGGTATGCATACAAGGACAAAATGTGTCTCCTGCGTGCTATTGAAGGAGTCTCTTGGGCGTGGTGGGTACTCATAGTCGTCTGTGCCGCTACTTAGGTACCAATCTGTTCAGAGTGCAAGATATTCGGTGGCGTTGTGCCACAGCCACGCTCGTGGAGCGATCCCAAGACCCGATTGATGATGCAAAAGGGACAGGCACGTTCATTTCACCACCAGAGCAGAACGCAATCCACGGCGACTACTTGCCAACTTCCGGATAGGTTGTCAAGTTATTAATGCTGATGCAAATCTGTTCTTTGGAGGCCGTTTTGTTCTCCCTTGGCCCTGGAGTTGACTCGCTCCTCTCTGCGTTGTCCGCCTTCTCAACAGACGTTGAGACGGTATCCGCCGTGATGGCGAGGCAAGCGGTGTCGCGGGCGCTCGGCAACAAGATGGCGGTGGATTCGATCCTTAAACAGGTGGGCAACCGTCGGCTCTCGCGGGACGACGACCAAAAGTGTCGACTGGTCGGTAAAAAATCTGCTGCACCTTCACTGGTGAAGAGCGAGAGAGAGGAAGGATACATGGATACATGGACGCCGTGTGTAGATAGGATCGCATGCATGTTGATTGTTCTCCAATGCATGCATGTGGCTGTTCGTTGTTCATGTTTTTTTTTAGTCCGTGTTGAAACGATGACTTGCGCTTGAGTATCCACGACGCTTGGGTTCTGGAGTTGGCGATCGGTTGTGTGCTGCTGCTGAACTCTGCGTTGCTTCTCGGCACGCCGTCTCCGCGAACCATCATTCTCTTCCGATCGATGGAACATGGGAAGAAGATTTTTTTCCTACAGTAGTCGTCACGGAAACCATCAAATGTTGTAAACTTTATAATTTTCGTCGACGCGGCGTTGGAGTCACCCCGACTACCGTGTACTTGTAGGTGGCACGACATTAAATACCACACCCTGCACTGACTTTCAAAGCTCGACTACAAGTACTCCACAGCGCAGAGGGTGATGGTGCCGAGAATGGCGGCGTCGGAGCCTCCTTGTCGAGAGCTTCCCGAGAACGCATCGTTTGACTCATACATCCTCTCCGTCGTGGAGTAATGGAGCTGCGCAAATGGATCCAGGGGGTGTGATGTCTAATGTCACCTATGTTGTGTCTGCAGATCCCTGACCACCCTCCTTTGTCGGAAACGTTTTGCTGTCCTCGCTGCGGGCCTTCGCAGGTGGAGGAGTCGATGCTAGCCATGCTCTTCGCCTACCGCAAGAAGTGCGCCTCCGACTCTCCGGCCGGGCAGCTCATCCTCCCGGAGGCGCTGAGAGTCCTGCCACTCTTCACGCTATGCACGCACAAGATGCTCGCACTTAGACCCAACTCGAAGGTGCCTTGTGTTGGTGTGGCCCTCGTCGCGATCTAGGAGAGGGGGAAGTCGCAAAGAACAATGCTTCCACGATGATGTGCCAGTATGAAGATGTTGAAAGAGAGTGTTTGTTTGTTTCCGCGCGCTGCACCACTCATGGTTGTCGCCATCTCCCACCCTTGCCCCCCTTCCGTGCGTGCTGCTTGTACTGTTCAACACACGCGCACAATCCGATGCACACCTACCTACCTGCAGGGCGGCGCCCCGGACGTTCGCGCAGACGAGCGCGCGGCGCGGCTGCTGGCCAATCACAGCCTGTCGGTGGAGGGCATGGTGAAGGTCCTCTACCCGTCCCTCTACTCCGTTCACGACTTGCCGCCGGACATAGGGGACGCACCGCCCCCCAGACCCCCGCCACCGGCGGCGGCCTCGGAGCCCGGAGCAGTCGGGGCGGGGGTAGGGTTAGAGGGGGCTAGGGGAGTGGAGGGGATCTGGGGGAGCCCCCGGTCTGGGGTTGACGTGCCGGTCGCGTTGCCCCCGACCTCGGAGAAGCTGAGCAGCTCCGGGGTGTTCTTGCTGGACAACGGGGAGGAGCTGTTGCTGTACGTGGGTCGCTCGGTGAGCCGGGAGGTGATGTCCGAGCTGTTCGGGGTGGACGCGGTGCCTGGTGAGTCAAGTCATTCAGTCACGCCAGTTGGTCGGTCGGTCAGTCAGTCCCACTGCCAGACTGCCAGGAAAGGCGCTTAGTGTAAGTGAAGTAGTAGACGCCGCTACAGTGAATAGGCACGCCATGAAGTTTTTCGACGGCGGTGGAAGAACAAGGTCGTTTCGTGTTACCCCGTCACTCCTTCCCGTTCCCCGTGACACCAGCAAAGGACACGGGCTAGACGAGTAACGCGGGGCTTGGACCCGTCTCGTTTGTGTACTGTTACTGTAATGTTGTGCCATGCAACACTATTTAACATTCACCTCCTGTAAAGAGACAGCCCTCTCTGTGTGGCCTCCGCTATATCGAGCGATGCCAGTCAAACGTGAGCCCCTCTATCCTCCTTACCGCCCTGCCGGGCACAAATATTGTTGTTGGGGCTCCGCCTGGTTGTGTACATCTGCACGGGCTTTATTTTTTGGCTCCGTGGAGTAGGGTGCCCTGGGGAGTGAGTGCACAGCAGCCGTCACTCCACCTGTCCTCCGCTCTTGGTCCTGTTCAACGCACGCCGCCGCCATAACAGCGCATGGGCGCTTTGATAGCACACCTTTTTTTTCGCGCGCGTGTATGTTTCCGGCCCCCACCCGCCTCATGGAAGAAAAAATCAACACCTCGTGTACGATCAATGATCTGTCTATCATGCCTGCTGCCCACCCCCACACACGGACACGAACAGGGCCTAGCCCACCAGGCTACGGCAATGAAGGGGCTAGTACGAGCGTCCTACAACTTCGCCAAGAAGATGGCTACGAGCAGGCCAGACGGGTGCGCAACGTCATAGAGCATCTGCGTAGAGGGAGCGCCGCCCACAAGCCGCTAGTGGTGGTGGTGGCCAATTCGGGAGTTCCGGAGGAGGTGAGGGGCGTGTTGCGTGAGGGAGAGAGTTCGGGAAACGCACGTGTAAAGAAAAAGCAACGGGGGTCGAAAGGAAAGAGGGAGGCTCGCTCCGCCGTGTGTGTTTGCGAAAAGCTGTTGTGACAACTCCCTCTGCTGTGCAGGGAGAAGGGGGGGGGATAGTCACGGCAGGATTTTTTTTTTTCCGACGAGTCTGACTTCCCGAACCCGCGGCAGATTGTGTCCGACAACATGCCCCCCCTGGTGCAACATGGCGTACACACTCTGTAAAGCGTCGGGGAAACGGCCTTGTCAGACCAAGACAATGTGGTAATCTGTGGACAGAGAAGCAAGTCTTCCCTGTCATCGGCAATGCATCGTCTCATGCTCATCGGCGCTGCGCTCTAGGCAGTGGTCTATGCTCCTCGCTTAGAGCCCTCAGCCTGCATGCACTCCTATTACTGAGCTTTGACACTGTTCTCTTGCCGCTTATGTTCCTGTTTCGCGTTTTTTGAACTCCCTCTTCTGCGCCTCTGGACCGCCCCCCTCTCGCTCCCATGACAGGCCCGCTTCGTTAGTCTGATGGTAGAGGACAAGACAAAGCACGGGACGTCTTACGTGGACGAGTTATGCAACTTGCACCACAAGATACAGTCAAGGATGGGGTGAAGCGACTGGCTTCCCCTCGCCGTCAACGTGCATGAAAAGTCAAAGTGCATGAGGCGTCTCGTATACAGTACAGCTTTTTATTTATTTTTTGTGCGCCGTGCGCACCTCGTCGTCAACCTCCTCCTCTTGCACTGCTAGTTTATTCTCTGCGTGTGTTTCAGTACAACAATATCCTCCTTTACGGTATTCTGTATTTTTATGTCGGTGTTTCCCAAGCCCCAAGCAAACGGTTTGCGCCAGAGTCCACTTTTGCGAATGAAGCTGAGTGATGGTTGTTGAGTGCGTCGTGTTGTGTCGTCGGAATCTTCTTTTCTGTTTCTTTTTCTTTTTCTTTTTTATTCTTCCGGTGCGTGTTCGTCGGTGGGTGGGTGGGTGTGGTTTGTCGTGCGGTGTTTTGCGTTTCGGTGAAAAATGTGTTGCTGGTGGTGCATTTTGCACTACGGTACATGCTACTGCTGTGTCAGCGCGCTACGCTATGAATGAAGTATGTTTTGCTATTGCCGCTCTGTGCTTTCTGTTCCAAGAGATCACTTTTTGCTGTACTGCCGACATGGTGCGCTCTGTTCCGAAGAAGCCGTGGTCTGCGCGATCGGTTGTGTCGGTTTGGATTATCCTCATCAGGTGTTTGTTCCCTTTGGCTTTTGCGATGAGTGTTTTTCGTCGGCCCTTCCTTCCCTTTTGTGCTCCTTGGGCGCGACCCGGGTCGGTCTTGCTTCGTCACGCTTGCCTCACGAAGCAGGCAGGTGACACCTGCACCCATCAGAGGGTTTTTGTGTGCTGCTAGTCGACGGATAGATGAATACAGTGTGCTCCAGTCTGGTCACTTGTCACCCGAAGACTTACCAACCATCGTGTGCGCTGCTAGTTGATAGTTGACGTGAAACCGAGGATGGTCACTTGTCACTCTTCAGACAATGCCATCTTTAGGGTGATGGCAGAAATAACGACGAACCCCCGACGGACCAGGGAGTGTGCCCCGCGCCGATCTTGGAATCGAGGATCCGAGGATGGTATGTCCTCGAGGCTTCCAGTTTCGTTTTGGGGAGCTTTCCGTGTTAGTAGAGGATGGCCAGGCCAGATGAAAAGTTTCCTACGAGGCACACGGTGGCTCCATGAGTAAACTGTTGGCAACCGGGCAGATGATTCAAACGACCCCCCCGAACGCCCGCAGCTGCGGCAATGCAGGCGGAACAGCTCCATTCACTATAGTCTATATTCCCCAATTGTGTGGTATATATACGACCAGAATTTCACTTTCACGGCAAGTGTGCTAATAGTCCTAGGTGCCAGCCATCATGTTTTTCTCTCTCGGACGGTCAGGACATAAAACATATCCGGCGTTTCGATCAGGAAGATCAGCCATCGCGAGGTTGATGATGATGACGACAGCCATCGCCAGCATCCTTCGCGAAGCCTACTACCAGGTACTGTTTAGTCTAGGTATTAGTATATTAGTATACACACAGACGGAAGATGGATGAGAAAGAATCCACCGTCATCATCATCAACCAAGATCGAACGCCGATCAGTCAGCCGAGAGGACCCATCCCCTTCGCCCGCCCGTGGAAATCTCCCTCTTCAGAGAAGTTGGCCACATTTCTTTCATCCATCAGTTGTCCCAGGATCCCGGCCTTTCGACCCTGGATGACGCTGCCCGTTGTCTAGGGATCTTCGGTCTTGCCTGTTTTTTTAAATTCCGCCGCAGTTTATTTTTTACCAATCAGCGAACTGCGTGCCACAAATGTTTTTCCAAAATCGGTTCTCCCGCCGAGCTCGTCACAATTATTTCCCATGCGGCTCTCTTGTTTTGACGTTTTTACGCCTGTTTTGCGTACACCTCCTTGTCTTTTATCCACCCTTCGCAGTTGGTCGGAAATATCATTCCCTTGCCGATACAAGAAAAAATAATTTTCGATTGGGATAGTCAGCCAGTTGTCATCTGCTCTGTTGTCGCGGGATGTGGCAAATTATGTGTAGCGCTAGTACCTGCTACTTAGTGGGTGCTAAGGCGACAAATTCCAGTTGACGGCTTTCTAACTTGAAGTGTCAACTGCATTTAAGCCAACTGCCAACTCATCCTGTGTAACCAGGACGGAATTCGC